ACATAGCACTCAGAACGGAGACTCGTAAAATAGACATCGCAGGGCTGGTGAACTAGTCCAGCAGGTAAAAGTGTGTGCTGCCAAGCCTCGAGATGGTAGTTCGATCCCCAGGAGTCACACCGTGAAACAAGAGAACAATTTGTACTGTTCGCTGACCTCCACCTGCGTACTGTGATATTTGAGAGTACACACAAGCACAGTAAACAAATATAATTTTAAATTATCTTTTATTTTTGAGATTATAATTTAATTATATTATTTTCACCTTCCCTTTCCTCTCTCCAAATCTTCTCATATACCCCTTCTTGCTATCTTTCAAATTAATTGCTTCTTTTAGCATTAATTTTTGTTATATGTATATATGCACACAAAAACACTCCTAAATATATTAATTCATCCCGCTCAATCTGTATCACATTATTTATATGTATATAAATATAATTTTTAAAGTTTAATAGGGTAGGCATTGGATCATATAATTCCCCTCACCCCCAAATAAACACGTAAGTGATAAAACTTCTTCCCAGCTAAAGACTGGCAGAGAAGGAACAGCTGGGCCCAGGTCTCGGCAGTCACCATGACAATAGAGCAGGCCAAGGAAGGCAAAGGGAGCAAAAGCACTTCCTCACCCTGGAAGGCTTAGGTCCTCCTGTGGGTTCTGTTGAACCTTTTCTCTGAGAACATGAAACATGGGGCTGGTGAGCGGTGAACATTTATAAAAAGGTGCTAGCACGACAAACAGGGAGATTGTGGTGTGTTCTTTTTTGTGTAATAAGCAGCCTGCCGAGTCATCTGGGAAAAGCCTGTTTTTTTCAAAGGGCTAAGCCTGCATACTTTGGGAGTGAAATACCCTTGGGTTCACAGAGATATAAATCCATTTTCCCCACTTAGTTTGATGGGTAATGAAAGTTTTACCGATCTGGGCATAGTAGCTCGTGCCTGTTAGAACAGTACTTGGGAGGCTGAGTGAGGCAAGAGAGTGTTGAGGTCAAGATCAGCTCAGGCTACAGGGTGAGATACCCTGCATGAATCAATCAAAGAGTCAATCAATCGCTCAACCAATCGATGCGTTCTTTTTAAAAGGTGGTAACAACATTTCTTTGATTAACTCTTGTGTTTATTTCTCAATTTTAAAAAAGAAAGCATCATTATGCCTTCATTGCCTAAAATTCTAACCCAAACCTGTCATTTCAATAGCCTCAAGAAGTGATGAGAATACAAAGCAGATCTTTTAACATGCTTTTAAAAACATTTGCAGGCCAATGGTGAGAACTAGAGAAGATCATCCTGAGTGAGGTATCCCAGAAGCAGAAAGACACACATGGTATATACTCACTCATAACTGGATATTAGACACATAATATAGGACAGACATTCTAAAATCTGTACATCTAAAGAAGCTAAGCAAGAAGGAGGACCCTGGGTAAGATGCTCAAGGCAAACATGATAGACATCAGAAAAGGGAGAAAACAGGGAACAAGACAGGAGTTTACCACAGAGGGCCCTTGAAAGACTCTACCCAGCGGGTATCAAAGCAGATGCTGAGACTCATAGCCAAACATTGGGCAGAATGCAGGGAATCTTATGAAAGAAGGGGGAGACAGAAAGACCTGGAGGAGACAGGAACTCCACAAGGAGAGCAACAGAAGAAGAAGAAGAAGAAGAAGAAGAAGAAGAAGAAGAAGAAGAAGAAGAAGAAGAAGAA